ACTCAAAACTAACCAAATGACTCCTCCCAGCATAATATAATGTTGCCCAAGTTTTAGGCTCGATCCGAAATCAATAGGTGTAAGAAATTGGACAATTCAGGTTCAAAGGCATTTCGTTCCAAATTGGAGTGGTTGGTGTTTTGGGTAGTTCTAGAGATCGGATTTAACTCAAACTTATCCAAATGACTCCTCCCACCATATTATTTTGTTGCCCAAGTTCTGGGGTTGATCTGAAATCTATAGGTGAAAGAAATTGGACAATTCACGTTCAGTGGCAGTTCGTTCCAAATTGTGGTGGTTGGTATATTGGGTACTTCTAGAGATCGGATTTCACTCAAAATTAACCAAATGACTCCTCCCACCATATTATGATGTTGCCCAAATTTTGGGCTCGATCCAAAATCAATAGGTGTAAGAAATTAGATAATTCAAGTTCAAAGTCAGTTCGTTCCTAATTGGAGTGGTTGGTTTTTTGGGTAGTTCTCGAGATCGGATTTCACTCAAAATTAACCGAATGACTCCTCCCACCATATTATGAGGTTGCCGAAGTTTTGGGCTCGATCTTTAATCAATAGGTGTAAGAAATTGGAAAATTCAACGTCAAAGGCAGTTCGTTCCTAATTGGAGTGGTTGGTGTTTTGGGTAGTTCTAGAGATTGATTTCACTCAAACTTAAGCAAATGACTCCTCCCACAATATTATCATGTTGCCCCAGTTTTGGGCTCGATCCGAAGTCAATAGGTGTAAGAAATTGGACAATTCAAGTTCAAAGGCAGTTCGTTCCTAATTGGAGTGGTTAGTGTTCTGGGTAGTTCTAGAGATCGGATTTCACTCAAACTTAACCAAATGACTCCTCCCACCGTATTATGATATTGCCCAAGGTTTGGGCTCGATCCGAAATCAATAGGTGAAACAAATTGGACAATTTATGTTCAAACGCAGTTCGTTCCTAATTGGAGTGGTTGGTGTTTTGGGCAGTTCTAGAGATTGGATTTCACTCAAACTTAAGAAAATGACTCCTCCCACCATATTATGATGTTGCCCCAGTTTTGGGCTCGATCCGAAATCAATAGGTGTAAGAAATTGGACAATTCAAGTTCAAAGGCTGTTCGTTCCTAATAGGAGTGGTTGGTGTTTTGGGTAGTTCTAGAGATCGGACTTCACTCAAACTTAACGAAATGACTCCTCCCACCATATTATGATTTTTCCCAAGTTTTGGGCTCGATCCAAAATCAATAGGTGTAAGAAATTGGACAATTAAAGTTGAAAGGCCGTTCGTTCCTAATTGGAGTGGTTGGTGTTTTGGGTAGTTCTAGAGATCGAATTTCACTCAAACTTAACCAAATGACTCCTCCCACCATATTATGATGTTGCCCAAGTTTTAGGCTCGATCCGAAATCAATAGGAGTAAGAAATTGGACAATTAAAGTTGAAACGCCGTTCGTTCCTAATTGGAGTGGTTGGGGTTTTGGGTAGTTCTAGAGATCGGACTTCACTCAAACTTAACCAAATGACTCCTCCCACCATATTATGATGTTGCCCAAGTTTTGGGCTAGATCCGAAATCAATAGGTGTAAGAAATTTTACAATTCAAGTTCAAAGGGAGTTCGTTCCTAATTGGAGTGGATGGTGTTTTGGGTAGTTCTGGAGATCGGATTTCACTCAAACTTAACCAAATGACTCCTCCCACCATATTATGATGTTGCCCAAGTTTTGGGCTCGATCCGAAATCAATAGGACTAAGAAATTGGACAATTTATGTTCAAAGCCGGTTCATTAATCTAAATTGAACTTGGGAACTTATTTGCTTGAGTTACTTATTTCTTTCTTCCTTGTTTTATGTTCTTTGTTTTTGTTTCTATTTTGTGTAGGGAAACTAAATTGGATCATTCAATCACCAATCCCTGTGGAATCGACCTCGCACTTACATATGCTATACTACCAACGGTTCGTGCACTTGCGAGTATCACAAGTTGAGGATGCAGCTTAATCCATTTTGGTGGAGCTAAATCTACGCAACAGGTAGTTCTAGAGATCGGATTTCACTCAAACTTAACCAAAAGACTCCTCCCACCACATTATGATGTTGCCCCAGTTTTGGGCTCTATTCGAAATCAATAGGTGTAAGAAATTGGACAATTCAAGTTCAAAGGCAGTTCGTTCCTAATTGGAGTGGTTGGTGTTCTGGGTAGTTCTAGAGATCGGATTTCACTCAAAACTAACCAAATGACTCCTCCCACCATGTTATGATGTTGGCCAAGTTTTGGGCTCGATCCGAAATCAATAGGTGTAAGAAATTGGAAAATTTAGGTTCAATGGCAGTTCGTTCCTAATCGGAGTTGTTGGTGTATTCCATAGTTCTAAAGATCGGATTTCACTCAAAACTAACCAAATGACTCCTCCCACTGTATAATGATGTTGCCCAAGTTTTGGGTTCAATCCGAAATCAATAGGTGTGAGAAATTGGACAATTCAAGTTCAAAGGCAGTTCGTTCCTAATTGGAGTGGTTGATGATTTGGGTAGTTCTAGAGATCGGATTTCACTCAAACTTAACCAAATGACTCCTCCCACCACATTATGATGTTGCCCCAGTTTTGGGCTCTATTCGAAATCAATAGGTGTAAGAAATTGGACAATTCAAGTTCAAAGGCAGTTCGTTCCTAATTGGAGTGGTTGGTGTTTTGGGTAGTTCTAGAGATCGGATTTCACTCAAACTTAACCAAATGACTCCTCCCACCATATTATGATGTTGCCCAAGTTTTGGGCTCGATCCGAAATCAATAGTTGTAAGAAATTGCACAATTCAAGTTCAAAGGCAGTTTGTTCCTAATTGGAGTGGTTGGTGTTTTGGGTAGTTATAGAGGTTGGATTTCACTCAAACTTAACCAAATGACTCCTCCCACCACATTATGATGTTGCCCAAGTTTTGGGCTCGATCCGAAATCAATAGGTGTAAGAAATTTGACAATTTATGTTCAAAGCCGGTTCATTCCTAATCGGAGTGCTTGGTGTATTCCATAGTTCTAGAGATCGCATTTCACTCAAAATTAACCAAATGACTCCTCCCACCATATTATGATGTTGCCGAACTTTTGGGCTCGATCCAAAATCAATAGGTGTAAGAAATTGGACAATTCAAATTCGAAGGTAGTTCGTTCCTAATTGGGTGGGTTGGTGTATTGGCTAGTTCTAGAGATCGGATTTCACTCAAACTTATCCAAATGACTCCTCCGACCATATTACGATGTTGCCCATGTTTTGGGCTTGATCCGAAATCAATAGGTTTAAGAAATTGGACAATTTATGTTCAAAGGCAGTTCGTTCCTAATCGGAGTTGTTGGTCTATTCCATAGTTCTAGAGAACGGATTTCACTCAAAACTAACCAAATGACTCCTCCCACCATATTATGATATTGCCCAAGTTTTGGGCTCGATTCGAAATCAATAGGTGTAAGAAATTGGACAATTCAAGTTCAAAGGCAGTTCGTTCCTAATTGGAGTGGTTGGTGTTCCGGGTAGTTCTAGAGATCGGATTTCACTCAAAACTAACTAAATGCCTCCTCCCACCATATTATGATGTTGCCCAAGTTTTGGGCTCAATCCGAAATCAATAGGTGAAGGAAATTGGACAATTCAAGTTCAAAGGCAGTTCGTTCCTAATTGGAGTGGTTGGTGTTCCGGGTAGTTCTAGAGATCGGATTTCACTCAAAACTAACTAAATGCCTCCTCCCACCATATTATGATGTTGCCCAAGTTTTGGGCTCAATCCGAAATCAATAGGTGAAGGAAATTGGACAATTCAAGTTCAAAGGCAGTTCGTTCCTAATTGGAGTGGTTGGTGTTCCGGGTAGTTCTAGAGATCGGATTTCACTCAAAACTAACTAAATGCCTCCTCCCACCATATTATGATGTTGCCCAAGTTTTGGGCTCAATCCGAAATCAATAGGTGAAGGAAATTGGACAATTCAAGTTCAAAGGCAGTTCGTTCCTAATTGGAGTGGTTGGTGTTCCGGGTAGTTCTAGAGATCGGATTTCACTCAAAACTAACCAAATGACTCCTCCCACCATATTATGACGTTGCCCAAGTTTTGGGCTCTATCTGAAATCAACAGGTGAAAGAAATTGGACAATTCATGTTCAGAGGCAGTTCGTTACTAATTGGAGTGGTTGGTGTTTTGGGTAGTTCTAGAGAACGGATTTCACCCAAAATTAACCAAAATGACTCCTCCCACCATATTATGTTGTTGCCCAAGTTTTGGGCTAGATCCGAAATCAATAGGTGGAAGAAATTGGACAATTTATGTTCAAAGGCAGTTCGTTCCTAATAGGAGTGGTTGGTGTATTCCACAGTTCTAGAGATCGGATTTGACTCAAAACTAACCAAATGACTGCTCCCACCATATTATGATGTTGCCCAAGTTTTGGGCTCGATCCGAA